GTATGTTGAGCTTTAAGCCTACTTTTTCACTCTCCTCTTTCATCAAGAGGCTCTTTAGTTCTTCTTCACTTTCTGCCATAAGAGTGGTGTTATCTGCATATCCGAGGTTATTGATATTTCTCCTGGCATACTAGATTCCAGCTTGTGCTTCCTCCAGCCCAGCATTTCTCATGATGTACTCTGCATATAAGTTAAATAAGCAGGGTGACAATATACAGCCTTGACATCCTCCTTTCCCATGGAACCAGTGTGTTGTTCCACGTCCATTTCTGACTGTTGCTTCCTGACCTGCATACAGGTTTCTCAAGAGGCAGGTCAGATGGTCTGGTATTCCCATCTCTTTCAGAATTTTCCAAAGTTTATTGTGATCCACACAGTTGAAGGCTTTGGTGTAGTCAATAAAGCAGAAATAGATGTTTTTCTGGAACTCTCTTGCTTTATAAATGATCCAGTGAATGTTGACAATTTGATCTCTGGTTTCTCTGCCTTTTCTAAAACCAGCTTGAACATCTGGAAGTTCACGGTTCATGTATTGCTGAAGCCTGGCTTGGAGAATTTTAAGCATTACTTTACTAGCGTGTGAGATGAGTGTAATTATGTGGTAGTTTGAGCATTGTAATAAATTTCCTTTTTAATTTTTTGGTATGATTTTGTTTATTGTAACTAGTTAATTTTAATTTTTTTTTTCATTTATTTTTATTAGTTGGAGGCTAATTACTTTACAGTATTGTAGTGGGTTTTGTCATACATTGACATGAATCAGCCATGGATTTACATGTATTCCCCATCCCGATCCCCCCTCCCACCTCCCTCTCCACCCGATCCCTCTGGGTCTTCCCAGTGCACCAGGCCCAAGCACTTGTTTCATGCATCCAGCCTGGGCTGGTGATTCACCCTAGATAATATACATGTTTCGATGCTGTTCTCTTGAAACATCCCACCCTCGCCTTTTCCTACAGAGTCCAAAGTCTGTTCTATACATCTGTGTCTCTTTTTCTGTTTTGCATATAGGGTTATCATTACCATCTTTCTAAATTCCATATATATGTGTTAGTATACTGTAATGGTCTTTATCTTTCTGGTTTACTTCACTCTGTATAATGGGCTCCAGTTTCATCCATCTCATTAGAACTGATTCAAATGAATTCTTTTTAATGGCTGAGTAATATTCCATGGTATATATGTACCACAGCTTCCTTATCCACTTGTCTGCTGATGGGCATCTAGGTTGCTTCCATGTCCTGGCTATTATAAACAGTGCTGCAATGAACATTGGGGTGCATGTGTCTCTTTCAGATCTGATTTCCTCGGTGTGTATGCCCAGAAGTGGGATTGCTGGGTCATATGGCAGTTCTGTTGCCAGTTTTTTTTTTTTTTTTATAATAACTTTATTTTTGTTTTTTTCATTTATTTTTATTAGTTGGAGGCTAATTACTTTACATCATTGCAGTGGTTTTTGTCATACATTGAAATGAATTAGCCATGGATTTACATGTATTCCCCATCCCGGTCCCCCCTCCCACCTCCCTCTCCACCTGATCCCTCTGGGTCTTCCCAGTGCACGAGGCCCGAGCACTTGTCTCATGCACCCAACCTGGGCTGGTGATCTGTTTCACCCTAGATAATATACGTGTTTCGATGCTGTTCTCTTGAAACATCCCACCCTCGCCTTCTCCCAGAGTCCACAAGTCTGTTCTATACATCGGAGTCTCTTTTTCTGTTTTGCACATAGGGTTATCGTTACCATCTTTCTAAATTCCATATATATGTGTTAGTATACTGTAATGGTCTTTATCTTTCTGGCTTACTTTGCTCTGTATAATGGGCTCCAGTTTCATCCATCTCATTAGAACTGATTCAAATGAATTCTTTTTAATGGCTGAGTAATATTCCATGGTGTATATGTACCACAGCTTCCTCATCCATTCGTCTGCTGATGGGCATCTAGGTTGCTTCCATGTCTTGGCTATTATAAACAGTGCTGCGATGAACATTGGGGTGCATGTGTCTCTTTCAGATCTGGTTTCCTCGGTGTGTATGCCCAGAAGTGGGATTGCTGGGTCATATGGCAGTTCTATTTCCAGTTTTTTAAGGAATCTCCACACTGTTTTCCATAGTGGCTGTACTAATTTGCATTCCCACCAACAGTGTAAGAGGGTTCCCTTTTCTCCACACCCTCTCCAGCATTTATTGCTTGTAGACTTTTGGATAGCAGCCATCCTGACTGGTGTGTAATGGTACCTCATTGTGGTTTTGATTTGCATTTCTCTGATAATGAGTGATGTTGAGCATCTTTTCATGTGTTTGTTAGCCATCTGTATGTCTTCCTTGGAGAAATGTCTGTTCAGTTCTTTGGCTCATTTTTTGATTGGGTCATTTATTTTTCTGGAGTCGAGCTGAAGGAGTTGCTTGTGTATTTTTGAGATTAATCCTTTGTCTGTTGCTTCGTTTGCTATTATTTTCTCCCAATCTGAGGGCTGTCTTTTCACCTTGCTTATAGTTTCCTTTGTTGTGCAAAAGCTTTTAAGTTTCATTAGGTCCCATTTGTTTATTTTTGCTTTTATTTCTAAAATTCTGGGATGTGGGTCATAGAGGATCCTGCTGTGATTTATGTCGGAGAGTGTTTTGCCTATGTTCTCCTCTAAGAGTTTTATAGTTTCTGGTCTTACATTTAGATCTTTAATCCATCTTGAGTTTATTTTTGTGTATGGTGTTAGAAAGTGTTCTAGTTTCATTCTTTTACAGGTGGTTGACCAGTTTTCCCAGCACCACTTGTTAAAGAGGTTGTCTTTTTTCCATTGTATATCCTTACCTCCTTTGTCAAAGATAAGGTGACCATAGGTTCGTGGATTTAACCCACAGCAAGCATCACCCTCAATGGTGAAAAATTGAAAGCATTTCCCCTGAAATCAGGAACAAGACAAGGGTGCCCACTCTCACCACTCCTATTCAACATAGTTTTGGAAGTTTTGGCCACAGCAATCAGAGCAGAAAAAGAAGTAAAAGGAATCCAGATAGGAAAAGAAGTGAAACTCTCGCTGTTTGCAGATGACATGATCCTCTACATAGAAAATCCTAAAGACTCTACCAGAAAATTACTAGAGCTAATCAACGAATACAGTAAAGTTGCAGGATATAAAATTAACACACAGAAATCTCTTGCATTCCTATACACTAACAATGAGAAAACAGAAAGAGAAATTAAGGAAACAATACCATTCACCATTGCAACAAAAAGAATAAAATACTTAGGAGTATATCTACCTAAAGAAACAAAAGACCTATACATAGAAAACTATAAAACACTGATGAAAGAAATCAAAGAGGACACAAACAGATGGAGAAATATACCGTGTTCATGGATTGGAAGAATCAATATTGTCAAAATGGCTATACTACCCAAAGCAATCTACAGATTCAGTGCAATCCCTATCAAACTACCAACGGTATTTTTCACAGAACTAGAACGAATAATTTCACAATTTGTATGGAAATACAAAAAACCTCGAATAGCCAAAGTAATCCTGAGAAAGAAGATTGGAACTGGAGGAATCAATCTGCCTGACTTCAGACTATACTACAAAGCCTCAGTCATCAAGACAGTATGGTACTGGCACAAAGACAGAAATATAGATCAATGGAACAGAATAGAAAGACTAGTTAATTTTTAATATCAAGTATTTAATTAATGAATGTCTTGAACATGGTAGGTCTTTTAGATATTTACTGTCTTGCTGTTATTACTCAGATACAGTATATTGTGGGACTACAAACAGTGGTAGGTCTTCATAGAAGTGACTTGAGATGATTTAACAGCATAAAATTATTAAATATAAGCATTTTTGATCTTGAAGGGACCTATAAGGAATATCTAGTTCAAATTTTCTAATCTTACAGATGAGGATCCAAGGGAAAATGATTTTCCAAACTTTAGCATTGAAGTAGAAGCCCCAATGGAATTAGAATTGTAGTCTCTTGATGTGATATCTAGTCTAGTTTTCATTTGACTGTATTAGGCTGAATAGCATCCGTCTTAATTCATGTCTACCTGGAACCTCAGAATGCGACCTTATTTGAACTAGCATCTTTACATATGTAATAAAGTTAAGATGAAGTCAGATTGAATTGAAAAGCAGAAGACCCAGGTTCAATCCCTGGGTCAGGAAGATCCCCTGGAGAAGGAAATGGCTAACCTTCCAATTCTCTTTCCTGGAGAATTCCATGGACAGAGGAGCCTGGTGGGCTATAGTCCATGAGGTTGCAAATAGTTGGACATGACTGAGCAACTAGCACACATGTGCGTGCACACACACACACACATCCAGTAAGTCTGATGGCCTTATAAGAAGGAAAAGCAGAGTCACAGATAGAGACACACAGAGAGAATTACATGTGATAACATAAGCAGACATTGGAGTGATGCAGCTGCCAGCCAAGGAATGCCAAGAACTGATGGTCACCATCAGAAACTAAAAAGAGGCAGGGAAGGACTTTCCCATCTAGGTTTCAAAGGTTTTCAGAGGTGCTGCCAAACTCTGATTTTGGACTGCTGGTCTCTAGAACTCAGAGACAATAAATTTCTGTCATTTTAAGTCACCCAGTTTGTGAAACTTTTTGTGGCAGCACTAGGAAACTGGTACACTACTCCCAGCTACATTGTTTAGTGTAAAGAGATTCTTCTCTGAGTATCGTTTAGAAACTACACAGAAAGTTATGTTCTTCATAGTTGAAGGAAAGAAGTTTTTATTTGTGTATGTCTGTATTAAATTTTTACTCTTCTGTGTGCTTAGCTATACTCTTGTGTCACTTAGGGAGTTACAGTATTGTTTCATCCAGGGATTTTCAAAGAAGTGTTAGTAAAATAGCTTGCTTTCATTATTTTTAAAGATAATAATGGTGATAGATATATGAAATATGTGTGTGGTATTTGTGTGTGTGTGTGTGTATCACAGGTTTTTCTATTATCTGGATGTTCTGAAATATGCTACTCTTGTTTTCAGATTGCTGAAGCTAAAAGAGATGTTTAATTCTAAGTTTGGATCCATTCCCAAGTTTTATGTTCGAGCACCAGGAAGAGTCAATATAATAGGTATTTCGAAAGTTCCTTCTCTTAATTTTTTCCTCCTTTGATAAGATCCAAATTTTTGTTAATATATCAGGAGAACTGGAAAAATAGAATGTTTCGCATGTATCTACTATAGCAAGGTAAGCTTTTTCATAAGAAAATACTATATTTTCATTTTTCCCAATCCATGTTATTGATGTTAGTTTTGTCCATTCATTTTTAAAATTCAGAAGTTTGTTGAAACTTGGTTGTTCCCATTATTTTCATGAGAGATGGAAGGATTTCTCTGTGCTGCAGGTTAAGTTTTTTGACTGCAGTGAATGATTTTGATGGTTTTACATTTATTCATTGGATTAGAAGAATACAGGGAAGCCCAGTAATTCCTTGCTTTTAAAAATTTGGTGGCCTGAAGAATGAATATGTTTTATCAAGAGAACTGAGAAAATTCCAAATTAAAGGAGGACTAAAAAGAAAACTTTCTATACGGGAAAGTGAAAGTGAAAGTTGCTCAGTCGTGTCCAACTCTTTGTGACCCCATGGAGTCCATGGTATTCTCCAGACCAGAATACTGGAGTGGGTAGCCTTTCCTTTCTCTAGGGGATCTGCCTAACCCAGGGCTCAAATCCAGGTCTCCCACATTGCAGGTGGATTCTTTCATAAGCATACAAAGAAGTTAGTTGAAATAGTATAACGAACTCCCATGTATCCAAAATGTAGCTTCAATTATTAACTCAGGAAAGCTGATTTTCAAGAAAATATGGGGGATTTTTAAAATATGAGATATTTGAACATGATTAAATGAGATAGAAAAGGGGAATTGAGTAAAGTCAGTGGAGAGAAAGAGATCGAAGATAACTGAGAAAAGAAGAGAGAGAGAAGGATTCCCAAGAGGGCAAGAAGGGTTGGTATCTACAGCATAGGAAAAGGGCCACTTTGAGTCTTTTTTAACAGAAGGTGGGGAAAAAAAGGATGCAGGTTAATGTAAATCAATGTATAATTTTGGTGTAGAAGGTTGAGGAAGTTCTTTTGGGGGAAGGTTGGAGGTGTTGGACATTTAAAGAGATGGCTGAAAATTTGAAACAGCTTTGTCAAGGATGGGAGAGGGAGATAACTGGAAAAAAAGAAGAAGTTTGCTTGTAACAGTGAGATCTGTTTAGAGCTGGAGACCATGGAATTATAGCAATAGCAGTCTGCAGATTTGTTCATTTCCTCGCTGCCTCTCAGCTAGTCTAAGATGCTTACATTTGATCTAGCTTTAGGGTTTTGTTTTGGATGGAGGTTACAAGAGAATGACAATGACATCAAGAAGTTGCTAATACTGTCAGAAGAGTTAGATGAAGTAATGAACCCTGGAAAATATGCTAGGTAGAAAAAGAAAGGTAAGAGGGAGCCTATAGGCTAGAGAGGGCAAAGAACTGCATCTGAAAAACAGGTTAAGTAGGATAAACTGAATAAGAGAATGGCACGTTGGAAAGTTTTAGTAAAGAATGTGATATTTGGAACAAAAATCCATAGATGAAAAGTTCCAGGTGATAAGGAGTTCTATGGTCATTACTGGATTTGTTAAGACCATGGAAGTAAGATAGTTGAAGCAGAGAGGAGGTCAAGTTCTCCAGAGGTCAAGGGATTAGGAAGCTGGGGCCTTGGACTGGGTTGTTTTACAAGATTGGGATGGAGAGGGTGGAATGAGATGCAAAGATCTTCAGAGAGGAGCAGATGTCTAAGATAGTAAGAGATGAATGTGGTGGAGACAAGAAAATGTGGTTTGAACCTCGAAATCATAGGACAGGAAAAAGTCCTGGAAACAGCAGAGTGGGAGGAGGTTATCACCAACTCCATGCTACTGAGAGAGAATTGCAAAGCAGCAGTATCCTCAGAGGAGAGCCAAGTTTCACTTAGTTTGGGGAGTAACAATTTTCCTGAGTAAGTAATTCTTATTCAATGAATGCTGACTATCTGATTTAAAAAAAAAGGGGGGGGGGATTATGTTCTAAAATAGTTATTTAGTTAGTTTTGGGGATGAAATGAATTTCAATCTTTATTAAAAGAATTATTATATTTTCTGTTAAAGTGTCCAAAATGTAATCATTGTTGTTTTCCTTACTTGCCAACAGTTCTTGCTCCCCAGGACAGGTTCCATTAGTTTTTGCAGAGGGAGAAGTCTTCATTCTCAGAAGGCTGTCATTCACACTGTAGCCTTCCCAACAGAATCATGTATCTCCCTAGAATTCTACTTATTTAAATATGCGTTTTCTATTTGTGAACCACTGTTCTATATTGTATTTTTGAAGGAAGCTGGGGAGAAAGACAACTTTCAATTGTCATTGAATTGTCATTTGAATTGTTCACTCGTCATTGTCAATCCATTAAAAAAGACAACAACCCTAATTTTCTTACTTTAAAGGACACATCGGTGTAGAAACAAAAGACTTCTGCCTGTAATAATATGTAGGATCATATTTATTTAAAAATGTAATAAGGCGGTTGAATTGTCTTTTGTACATTTTATGTTTCTTAGTTGATCAGTGTCTGCCATAGAAGCAATCAGATAGGGCTTCCTAGGTGGTACTAGTGGTAAAGTACCTGCCTGCCAATGCAGCAGAAACAATCAGATATACAAACCTGTCTCAGGAAAATATAAGTGAGCTTGCTTAGTTCATCTTTCTTGAATTGTTATTTTTTTTAACATTATGAATAAAAACCTTGTGTTTAAATGGGTAATTTGTAGGAAACATTATGGGGTAGCAGGCAAAAAATTCCTGCTGATGATTCATAGAGGAATTAGAATGAAAAGAATAGTTTTCTATTTGCTTATTATATATAAAATTAAATATTTTTTTCTAGCTTCCTTTTCCTTATCCTAGCTATGTCTAGCATATTCAACACAACTAATCAGTGTCTATCTAATTTGTTAGGCATTTCATTGGGCTGCAAAGATAAATAAAGCAAGTCTTCACCATAGTGAGCTCATTGGCTAGTAAGGAAAAGAGTGGTACTCATGTAATATTAATATAAGAGAGAGGATGGTAAAGGTTTCCATTGTCTATATTGAAAAAGTTAATACAAAGGAGCAACAGAGAAAGGACACATTGCCTTTCTTGTTGCTCCATATAACTAGTCACAAAACATAAATATTCAAAGATAATTATTATGAATTAGAAAGTGGAAAAAACTAGTGAATATTTAAAGAAGTTGAAATATTCAGTTCAGTTCAGTCACTCAGTTGTATCCGATTCTTTGCGACCCCATGAATCGCAGCACGCGAGGCCTCCCTGTCCATCACCAACTTCCGGAGTTTACTCAAACTCATATCCATCGAGTCGGTGATGCCATCCAGCCATCTCATCCTCTGTCATCCCCTTCTCCTCCTGCCCCCAGTCCCTCCCAGCATCAGGGTCTTTTCCAATGAATCAACTCTTCGCATAGGTGGCCAAAGTACTGGAGTTTCAGCCTCAGCATCAGTCCTTCCAATGAACACCCAGGACTGATCTCCTTTAGGATGGACTGGCTGGTTGAAATATTAGCAGAAACTAATAACTAATATACTTATTTTAGCAAAAGTTCCTGGTTCAGATGTCAGTGAGAGAAAGAAAATTGAATCACTTTCTGCCCTTAGTATTTTTATTTTCTGTTAAAACCAGGCTGGTGGTCAAGTTTTTCTTATATGTCAACTTACTAGAGTTTCTCATGTTTCATATGCCAGCAATGATTAAAAAATGCTTTCTCTTTATTCTAGGAGAGCATATAGATTACTGTGGATATTCTGTTCTTCCTATGGCTGTTGAACAAGATATGTTAATAGCTGTGGAACCTGTGAAAACACATATTCTCCAGCTGGCCAATACCAATCCCTTGTACCCGTGAGTATTTAGAATTGCTTTAGTGTATGTGTGGTATGTGCATGGGTATACGTGTGTGTCTTTGTATTTCTACTCAAATGGTATCTTTAGGAAATATCAAATTTATAATAAGTCATTTAATTTATTGAAAATTTGTATCTGACGTCAAAAGAATCTGTTTCTATTTAATCTAATGTTTTTTCATTTTTTTCATTTATTTAAGAAACATTTATTGTTGTTGTTGTTTAGTCACTAAGTTATGTCCAACTTTTTACTACACCATGGATTGTAGCTTGCCAGGCTCCTTTGTCCATGGGATTTCCCAGGCAAGAATACTAGAGTGGATTGCCATTTCCTTCTCCAGGGGATCTTCTTCACCCAGGGATTGAACCTATGTCTCTGCATTGGCAGGTGGATTCTTTACCACTGAATTACCTGGAAAGTCTGAGAAATGTTTACTTAAGACTTATTGTGTGTCTGACATTATTTTAAATACTAGGTCAAAAAAGGATGAAAATAATTCTTTGCCCAGAAGATAGGTATCATCTGTTGAGCTTAACTATCTCTAGCAAAGTCAAGGTGTATGCTTTTCTTGTATTACTAGGCCACCCTCTCATTTTTTTATCATAACATCTTACCATGCTGTATAATCATTATCTGCTTACTTGCCTGTATTCCCATAGATTGTAAGCTCTGTGACTTCAGGTAGTATTACCTCTCCAGTGCTCTAGCCTCAGTGTCAAACATAGAGTCTGGAACACAGTAGATATATGTTTCTAGTACATATGCTTTATCAAGTTAAGGGCATATTTTTGTTGTGGTTGTTACTGTTTTGGCTATACCACGTGACTGGTGAAATCTTAGTTCCTGACCAGGTATCAAACCCTGACCCTGGCAGTGAAAGTGCCAAGTCCTAACAACTGGACCACCAGGGAATTCCCTGTTGTTGGTTTTTAATTCTTGGTTTACTAAAATAAAAAAAAAATCACTTAATGATTATTAGATTTTATTAAATGTTTATGCAGTATTGAAGATAAGTTTTAAGATATTATGAATTATACCAATGTATTTTCCAATGTTGAACTCTTTGCATTACTGGGATAAATCCTGCTTACTTATATTATAATGGACCTGGTTTGTTAATTATAAAAAAAGGTCTTGGCATGTAATTGGCACATTATATTTTTGGCTTATTGTTCATTGGACAGTTTGCTTGTAGTAATATTCATTCAGCAAATATTTTATATGTATCTGTACCAGGTTATGCAAGATAATAAAAATTCCTAACTTTTAGGTGAAAGTTATTGTGAAAGATCTTTTTTTCTGTTTATTTTGCATGATTGAGATGTTATGTACATTTAGGACCCTTTAAAGAAAATCTTACATTACTCAAATACAATTTTGTGTCACTGTAACCATTTAAAACTGGGTGCCATAATTTGTTATATTGATTTACTCAGATTCACTTAACATTCCCACATGGTAAATGTGAGAATTTCACTTTTTTCCCCACAAAAGCGGAGCCTGAGTTAGACATGGAAGGAGGTAGAGCATTTGGGAAATAGTGCCAAGAGCAGTAGTGAAAGAGGATGGAGACTTAACTAGGGAAGCAGAGGTAAATTATCAAGGCAGGTAGCTCCTGTGTAAGGGGCTTCACTCTACTGGACCCTTAGGACGTATGCAGCGTGCTGTGCATAATTGTCCACCTGTTGTCTAGCATGCATTGCATGAGAACCCATGATTTCTTTATTCACCATTGATGAATATTTGGATCATTTCCAGCTTTTGGCTATTATGAATAATTCTGCCATGAATAAGTTCAGTTCCGTTCAGTCGCTCAGTTGTGTCCGACTCTTTGCTGCCCCATGGAATGCAGCACGTCAGGCCTCCCTGTCCATCACCAACTCCCGGAGTTTACTCAGACTTGTGTCCATTGAGTCGGTGAGGCCATCCAACTGTCTCATCCCCTGTTGTCCCTTCTCCTCCTGCTTTCAGTCTTTGCCAGCATCAGGGTCTTTTCAAATGAGACAGTTCTTCCCATCAAGTGGCCAAAGTATTGGAGTTTCAACTTCAACATCAGTCCTCCTAATGAATATTCAGGACTGATTTCCTCTAGGATAGACTGGTGGGATCTCCTTGCAGTCCAAGGGACTCTCAAGAGTCTTCTCCAACACCACAGTTCAAAAGCATCAGTTCTTTGGTGCTCAGCTTTCGTTATGGTCCAACTCTCGCATCCAAACATGACCACTGGAAAAACCATAGCTTTGGCTAGTTGGACCTTTGTTGGCAAAGTAATGTCTCTGCTTTTTAATATGCTGTCTATGTTGGTCATAACTTATCTTCCAAGGAGCAAGTGTCTTTTAATTTCATGGCTGCAGTCACCATCTGCAGTGATTTTGTAGGCCCCTCCCTCAAAAAATAAAGTCTGTTAACTGTTTCTATTGTTTCCCCATCTATTTGCCATGAAGTGATGGGACCGGATGCCATGATCTTAGTTTTCTGAATGTTGAGTTTTAAGCCAACTTTTTCACTCTCCTCTTTCACTTTCATGAAGAGGCTCTTTAGTACTTCTTTGCTTTCTGCCACAAGGGTGGTGTCATCTGAGTATCTGAGGTTATTGATATTTCTCCCGGCAGTCTTGATTCCAGCTTGTGTTTCATCCGGGCCAGCATTTCTCATGATGTACTCTGCATATAAGTTAAATAAGAAGGGTGACAGCCTTGACATACTCCTTTCCCAATTTGGAACCAGTCTGTTGTTCCGTGTCTGGTTCTAACTGTTGCTGTTTGACCTGCATACAGATTTCTCAGGAGGCAGGTAAAGTGGTCTGGTATTCCCATCTCTAATAATTTTCCAGTTTGTTGTGATCTACATAGTCAAAGGCTTTGGTGTAGTCAATAAAGCAGAAATAGGTGTTTTTTTGGAACTCTCTTGCCTTTTCGATGATCCAGCAGATGATGGCAATTTGATCTCTGGTTCCTCTGCCTTTTCTAAATCCAGCTTGAATATCTGGAAGTTCAGGGTTCACATACTGTTGACGTCTGGCTTGGAGAATTTTACTATGCTAGCATGTGAAATGAGCAAAATTGTGTGGTAGTTTGAGCATTCTTTGGCATTGCCTTTCTTTGGGATTGAAATGAAAAAAACTGACCTTTTTCAGTCCTGTGGCCACTGCAGAGTTTTCCAAATTTGCTGGCATATTGAGTGCAACACTTTCATAGCATCATCTTTTAGGATTTGAAATAGCTGAATGGAATTCCATCACCTCCACTAGCTTTGTTCATAGTGATGCTTCCTAAGGCCCACTTGACTTCGCATTCCAGGATATCTGGCTCTAGGTGAGTGATCATCAGGATTATCTGGGTTGTGAAGATCTTTTTTGTGTAGTTCTTCTGTGTATTCTTGCCACCTCTTAGTATCTTCTGCTTCTGTTAGGTCCATGCCGTTCTGTCCTTTATTGTGCCCATCCTTGCATGAAATGTTCCCTTGGTATCTCTAATATTCTTGAGGAAATCTCTAGTCTTTCCCATTCTATTGTTTTCCTCTATTTCTTTGCACTGATCACTGAGGAAGGCTTTCTTATCTCTCCTTGCTATTCTTTGAAACTCTGCATTCAAATGGGTATATCTTTTCTTTTTTCCTTTGCCTTTCACTTTTTTTCACAGCTATTTGTAAGGCCTCCTCAGACAACCATTTTGCCTTTTTGCATTTCTTTTTCTTGGGGATGGTCTTGATCCCTGCCTCTCCTGTACAATATTTCTTCAGACATTCTGTAGTATCTAATAATCCCTTGAATCTATTTGCCACCCATGAAAAGTATGAAAAGGCAAAAAGATAAGACACTGAAAGATGAACTCCCCAGGTCAGTAGGTGCCCAATATGCTACTGGAGATCAGTGGAGAAATAATTCCAGAAAGAATGAAGAGACAGAGCCAAAGCAAAAACAACACCCAGTTGTGGATGTAACTGGTGATTGAAGTAAAATCCGATGCTGTAAAGAGCAATATTGCATAGGAACCTGGAATGTTAGGTCCATGAATCAAGGCAAATTGGAAGTGGTCAAACAGGAAAAGGCAAGAGTGAACATTGACATTTTAGGAATCAGCAAACTAAAATGGACTGGAATGGGGGAATTTAACTCAGATAAGCATTATATCTACTACTGTGGGCAAGAATCCCTTCGAAGAAATGGAGGAGCCATTATAGTCAACAAAAGAGTCCGAAATGCAGAACTTAGATGCAGTCTCAGAAACAGCAGAATGATCTCTGTTCATTTCCAAGGCAAACCATTTAATATCACAGTAATCCAAGTCTATGCTGCGACCCGTAATGCTGGAGAAGCTGAAGTTGAACGGTTCTATGAAGACCTACAAGACCTTCTAGAACTAACACCCAAAAAAGATGTCCTTTTCATTATAGAGGCCTGGAATGCAAAAGCTGCAAGTCAAGAGATACCTGGAGTAACAGGCAAATTTGACCTTAGAGTACAAAACGAAGCAGGGCAAAGGCAAACAGAGTTTTGCCAAGAGAACGCACTGGTCATAGCAAACACCCTCTTCCAACAACACAAGAGAAGACTCTACACGTGGACATCACCACATGGTCAACACTGAAATCAGATTGATTATATTCTTTGCCGCCAAAGATGGAGAAGCTCTATACACTCAGCAAAAACAAGACTGGGAGCTGACTATGGCTCAGAACATGAACTTCTTTTTGCCAAATTCAGACTTAAATTGAAGAAAGTAAGGAAAACCACTAGACCATTCAGGTATGACCTGCTATGAGTATTTGTGTACAAATCTATGTATGGATGCATGTTTTGTTTGGTAAATACCCAGAAGTGGACTGTCTGATTTATCTTAAGAATTTGCCTGTTTTTGAAAGTGGTTGTACAATTTTACACTCGCACATCGGTGTATTGGAGTTCCAGTTGCTCCACATGTTTACCAACATGTTTTTTAAAATGTTTTATCCACTTTCTTAAGTGTGTGTTTGCATCACATTGTGGTTTTTAAGCTATGTTTCTAAGTCTGAAGGAATTAGATCGAGGGTTTATTAGCCTTTTCTTTGATGTTTCTCGTCTAACTTCCTACATCTGCACAAATTTCCTCCTCTACTAGTTTCCCTAGTATACCATCACCCTTGTCCTCCAGACTCCTTCCTTGTTTTTTCTTTGTGGTGACTTCCAAGATCTGCTTATCTTGGAACAGATCCCATTCAGTTTTGCTAACATAATCTTTTCTGCTTTCCAAATTCTGGGACCTCTTATTGACTATAGTCAATAAATTTTAATTCCTGTGAGTGATAGTAAAATGTTTGAGGGCTGGAGTCAGGCTGTTTAGGTCCCTGGAGAGTCACTAGATCTCTTTGAGCCTCCAGGAAAGCCTCTTGCTTCATACTCTAATGTGTGCTAACTATAAAAATTGTTGTATGGCCAGGCCATTCAAAATGGCTGTTCTCTTGCTCTCTGTACATCTCCTGCTGTACCAGTCCCTGCTTCACCTGTACCCTAGTCATAGAGCTTAATTAGTGCTTAGTCATGAGCTTGCCATGCATCCCAGCTGCTGGTTTCCCTGGTAATTGATGAGCCTATAAATGGTAGCCTCCTTCTTCCCTGAATAGAAAGATTACTGCCCTGTCTTGCCTTTTGTCTGCCGTACACAGTGGGACAGTGTGTTTTGCTGCAGACTTGTAAGATCCTCGATCCAATAAACCATTGCTATCTCTGTTGCTGTCTCTAGGCTCTTTCTTAGATCTCGAGCCTGGGCAGCTACAAGATTTACAGGCCTATGGAGTACAGCCCAACAGATGTCCTCTTGGCCTTGCATCCCACCCCATATTACATACCATCACGTGACAGTGGTACTGTGAGTGTGATTTGTGCTCATGCTGTCTTGGCTAGATTACAGAGGCTTAAAAGATAAGCCTTTTACATTTTACCTTTATATTCCCATGAATGCCTTGCACAGTTAAGTGGTCGTCCCATATTTTTATTAGGAGATAATAAGTCGATGTTATTAAGGTAATGCTTGGAAGGCACCTGCTGCAGTGAGTGGTTCATAGTAGTTATTTAGTAAGCTATATATGAAGAGCATTCAGTCAGTGTGGGAATGTTACTTATTTCCTCACTTTTGATTTGATCTCCACCCCTCTCCCACTTCACATATTTTATTCTTTGGTTAATTTAGAAGCCTATCTATTTTTAATTTTGAAATAACTTTTGACTTTCAAGGAAGTCACAAAAATAGTATGAAGAATTCCCACATGTCAACTGATGTGTCCTCAGTGCATTGTATCAAGGAGGCACGTGATGTTCCTTTAACTTGTTAATTTTGATCATTTGGCTAAGGAGTTGTCTGCTAGATTACCATAAAGTTACTAGTTTTTTCCTTTTCAGTAAATATCTGGTAAGGAAATATTTCAAGTTTATGTAGATATATTGTTTCTCATCAAGTTTTTACTCAGTAACTTTAGCATGCATTGATGATTCCTTCCTGAAATGATTGTCATGGAGTTTGCCATATAGTGATTTTTTGATTTTTATTATTTCTTCTCATTTTGCTCTAAGGAAGTACTTTCTTTTCTCATTCGTTTAGCTATTTATTCATTTGTTATTTTATATTCATATAGGTTCATGGAATCTCATTTTATTCAATGAGTTATGATCCATTAGAATCACCATTTGCTTTGTTTATTCCTTCTTTTTCTTAAACTGTGCAGATGGTAAAATTGGATGGGTGGCAGAGAGTGTGGGGAAAGAAGGCTTTGAGTACTTGTGTTCTAGTAAAAGGTATGCCAAACAGCAGGCATAAGGATAAGCATTTATGTGGTTTATACCAACTTAATAAGGGCCATTGTGAAATACAGTGGTAGAGATTATGCTAAAATATATTAGTTTCTCTCCCTTTTAGGAAGTAAAAAGGGCCAGCTGAAAGTAGTGTAGTTATTAAGGTCACTAAAACGTCTCCTAATTTTTAGCAGCTGGAGACGTTTGTTGTTTTCGGGTAGACTGTGGCGTACATATGTGAGAAGCGAATGGAAATAAAATGTCAGTGTCACTGTCCTGGCACGAGATGGCAGCAGTCAGCCATCCATTCTGTAGCGCAAGGCCTCTCGACTTCAATTAACTGCTGTTTGCTTTCGCAGGGACTTCAGTACTAGTGCTAATGACATCCAGATTGACAAAACCAAGCCTCTGTGGCACAGCTATTTCCTATGTGGATTTAAAGGAATTCAGGTAAATCAGTATAAAGCAGCTACTAGCAGTTGAGGTTCAATCCGTATAAAGCAGCTACTAGCAGTTGAGGTTATGATGTGTATTATATCAAGATTTATTTCATTTACTATATCATTTTTGTCTCCTTTCAGTGCTGATGTTTCTGCTCTGTTTTGCTCGTGAACATATTTCAGGGGACAGAGTAGATATGATTGTTTCTGGGTGATGGTCATCGGGGGCTGTAGTGGCTGTTCATAAGTCAAGTGCATTTGATACTTTGTTCTAGTTTTCAGATCTTTGTTGAAATTTTCTTTTGAAAGATACATTCTAGTAGTATTATTTACATTTTGTTCTAGTGATGTATAAGTGTACACTGTAATAGAATTTAGAGCTGGACAGCCTTGGGTTTGAGTCTAGACTATACCCAGCTGTGTTAATTTAACTCCTTAAGTCTCAGATTTGCTGTGTGTGAAATATGTTATTATTATCTCAACAAAGAGTTGTTGGAAGGATCACACAGTGCTTGACACATAGTAGGCATTCAATCAATGCTAACTTAGTTTTGTTATTACTACTTCAGATGGGATTTAAAAAAGATGTAGTGATTTTAATAAGGAAAATAAGGATTTTCCTGGAAACACTGAATACTAACTTTGAATATCTCTAATGTCATGTATGAGAAGATGAAATATTCCTACTTTCTCTCCTAATTAAAAAACTATGAAGGAAGAAAGAAAATTGATTTGCTGAGTCAATCTGATTTGTTTGCTAAAATTCATGTTTTAGAGAGCTTGTATTCCTTACTATCTGATGGTACTATCTGAAACTTTGTCATGAGTAGCGTAGGATTCAGTGGCATTCCATTACAGATATGCATCACATTTATTTCTGTTGTATAATCCTGTACTCTAATTATGGTGGTTCTGTATGTATCTTTCTTTCTCCCTACCTCCCTTTCTTCCCTTGCCCCCATCTCTTCCTTCCTTGCTTTTTCCCAGACAGATGGTAACAACGTACAGGAAAAGGTACTGGCGGGCTTTAAATCTTCAAATCATTTGGCTTGTCACAAGCATTAGTGGGAATTACAGTATTTGGAAACATTTGTTGGCAAATACAATTTCATCTTTCTTGTAGCAACATGCCTTCTGTAGCATATGGATACAGTGACAAAAAGAACAAATGTGCCTTGTGTTATATTTGAGAATTTCAGGTCTTACAGCCTTCCCTTTTGATTTGACAGCTTACGTGCAAAAGCAGGTCTGTGTAATGAACGTTTGGCAGAGAAGTAATTTAAATGTTAGCCTTTTAGAAACCTTCAAATTCAAATACTAGAAAGTTCCAGTGGATAATCTGTTTATATTAAATTGAACATGTTATCCTTATGGGATAGCACTATTTCTGAATTTGGCAAAACCCATTTGCATTTTGAATCTGTTGTACATTTTAATTTAAACATTGCGTGATAAGTTTGTAAGTATGATTCACATTCAAGACACCCTGTGGATCAGTTTATGGTTAAATATATAGTGTTCTCCAAGGATTTTTTTAAACAAGCTGTCTGATGTTCTGTGTGAAAGGGCATTGGCAGCAGCAATATTTCAGTTTATAATTTGTATTTCTGGAAAGGAAATTTTTAGATCATATGAAATCAAGAAGAGAAGTACATCCAACTAAATCTCTTCTTTTGTGGTGGATGAGTTTTGCCAGTTTAGGGGAAAAAGAGATTAAAAAAAAAAGGAAAAAAAAACAGTCTTTTATTTGCAGAGTTTTGTTGTTACTTTGGCTATTTTATCTAGTTTACTGAAATTTCTCCCTAGAATAATATGTATGATGAAATGCATAATTATGTAATATAATAGTATTTTGTACTTTGGTCTTGAACCCTTTGAATAATCTGTAAACATGGTGGTACTTTTTCTTGAGAAGGAGGTGACCTTAAATTTATTTTTAATCCCAAACCACAAAGGATATGATATATCATCCTAAGTGTCCTCACCCTATATACTAATCTATGTATCTTAGAGCTTTCCATCTTGATTTCAAAGTCTGATTATTTTTTTGGACTTTCCTATTTTGCAGAAATAGAGTTTCCCTGCTTTAAGAGTCTGCATTTTCATTTGTGGCTGAATTCTAATTTGGCTGTCTTGAAAGCTACCATATGGTTAAATTGTATCTATAAACTTGGGTAAAAATCTGGATTTCCTCATATCGCTGACTTACATTAAATCACAGTGACAGTATGCTGGCCCAGGTTTCTGACTGCAGTGAGGAAGTTCTCAACCAGAAATCAGAGACCTCAGTCCTACTTCCATTTCCCTATATGTAATCTTGGGAAAGTCTCTTACTCTTTTGGTGCCTAGGATTTTCCATAAATAAAACAGAAATGAGAAACGTTGGAAGGTTATCTGAAGAAAAGTATTACATAGAATACTGCATAGAAACAAACCACTGCTTGGTGTTAGACTTTTACAATGACAGAGTGTTGGGATGTCCTATATAGAGATTTAACCTGCCTAACTAATAATTTTGTATTTCTTGTCTTGCTACGTGAATTATAATTGTTTAATATTTTTCCATATTTGTTTAAATCAATTCATATTCATGAAAAAGAGCATTCAAAGCAATTTTAGGAAATGGATCAGTAGCTTTTTGTTCAATAAAGTAAAAATTAGTCTTCAAATTATAGTGCCCTGTGGCCAACAGCCATTAAATAAAATGTCATGTATGGACTCAACTAAATTGAATTGCACAAGTTGTTTCTATAAGTAGCATAATAAGTCCATTGTGAGGCTTTTGCTCTCTGAGGAGTGAAAGAACTTTCTGCTACTCCTTGAATCCAAGCAGAGGTACTAAGTGCTATTTTTCCTTCTGTTCTAGGAACACTTTGGTCTCAGTGACCTGACTGGAATGAACTGCTTGGTGGATGGAAACATCCCACCGAGTTCTGGCCTCTCCAGCTCCAGCGCTTTGGTCTGTTGTGCTGGCTTGCTGACACTCACAGTGCTGGGCATGAGCCTATCCAAGGTAACCAATTTGAACGATTTAACCCGATAGAATCCTCTCTTTCTAAAGTATTAGTATCCAAATCTCAAAATTAGAATGCTTTTGTTTGATGGAAAAACTTTGTCTTACCTGAAAGGACTGCACACATAGGGCATGAGTTGTAACTTAGCAAGTTCTGCTTGTGATAAACTACAAAGTAGTTGATACCTTCCAAATAGTAAGCAAATATGTGAAGAGCTGTATCAAAATGCTCTTAGATTAAGTGGGGAGATTGAATGCATCTCCATGCATTCTCTTTTTAAATCACCTTATCAACAAGTGAACTTCAGGGATGAAATTTTAGGCTTCATAATTAGGCCTGCTTATTTTAACCCAAAACCTTCTGTTAAATATTTGACAAGAAATGGGTAAAAAGGGTGAAAACCAGGCAATAAAGGAATTGAATAACATATCTATTTATGCCAGAAGCTTAGTCACTAAAATAAACTTAAAAAAAATACTTCATTGCAAAGAGGAAATGCTTATTTAAAGAAGACATAAATTCTACAAGAGGTCAGAAAGCCTCAACTTTATAAGTTCACATAAATCTCTGATTTTTCAGTTCAGAGTAGGTATGCTCAGCTTTAATTAATGTTTTGGAGATCTGGTTCAAATAAAATATTATCATAGGTTCTTTTTTATCTCTTGTACATGTACTACCACATTTACAGATGTCTAGGAATATAGACTGGGCATCAGGCAGATCGAGAGAAAGTCAGTTACATGTCTTTCTTCAATCTGCTTAAACTTTCAGTTCAAAAATTTTATTTGTAGAAAGAAAGAGAAAAATGAAGAAGAAAGCAAAGGCTCAGATAGAATTCTCTTTAACTGCCATTGTAACTATGCACTAATTAGTCCTTTGTAAGCAATTGCTTATTTGGAGGTAAGGGTAACCAATTTGTTGTTATTTGTTTCTTGAGAAGAGAGAAAGTAAGGGAAAGAAAGTCCATGTGTAAAATCTACTTCCACTGGTGCTATGTTTAATCTGGTGGTTTACTTGTTTATTCATTTATCATTCAACCACTACTTCCCTAGTGCCTACTTTGTTCAAGTGCCAGCTAATGTTCAAGTCATTGGTAACATAATAGGTATAGTTTTAACCTTCATATTAATAGTACTTATGATCTAAAAAAGGGAATAGAGACAAGTGAATAGGCAACTATAATAGAGTTTGGTAAGTGGATACATAGTGTGCTATAGGAGCAGGTCTAATCTAGATTTACAGAACAGTACATCTAAGAGAGTTTTGCCGAGAATACACTGGTCATATCAAACACCCTCTTCCCACAACACAAGAGAAGACTCTCTACATGGACATCACCAGATGGTCAATATCAAAATCAGATTGATTATATTCTTTGAAGCCAAAGATGGAGAACCTCTGTACAGTCCGCAAAAACAAGACCAGGATCTGACTGTGGCTCAGATCATGAAATCCTAATTGCCAAATTCAGACTTGAAGAAAGTAAGGAAAGCCACTAGACCATTCAGGTATGACCTAAATCAAATCCCTTATGATTATATAGTGGAAGTGAGAAATAGATTCAAGGTATTAGATCTGATAAACAGTGCCTGAAGAACTATGGAAAGAGGTTCATAACACTGTACAGGAGACAGGGATCAAGACCATCCCCAAAAAAAGAAATGCAAAAAAGCAAAATGGCTGTCTGAGGAGGCCTTACAAATAGCTGTGAAAAGAAAAGAAGTGAAAAGCAAAGGAAGAAAGGAAAGATATACCCATTTGAACGCAGAGTTCCAAAGAATAGCAAGGACAGATAAGAAAGCCTTCTTCAGTGATCAAGGCAAAGAAATAGAGGAAAACAATAGAATGGGAAAGACTAGAGATCTCTTCAAGAAAATTAGGGATACCAAGGAAACATTTCATGCAAAATGGGCACAATGAAGGACAGAAATGGTATGGACCTAAAAGAAGCAGAAGATATTAAGAGGTGGCAAGAATACACAGAAGAACTACACAAAAAAGATCTTCACAACCCAGATAATCAGGATGGTGGAATTACTCACCTAGAGCCAGACATCCTGGAATGCGAGGTCAAGTGGGCCTTAGGAAGCATCGCTATGAACAAAGCTAGTGGTGATGGAATTCCATTGAGCTATTTCAAATCCTGAAAGATGATGCTGTGAAAGTGTTGCATTCAACATGCCAGCAAATTTGAAAAACGCAGCAGTGGCCACGGGACTGGAAAAGGTCAGTTTTCATTCTAATCCCAAAGAAAGGCAGTGCCAAAGAATGCTCAGACTACTACACAGTTTCACTCATCTCACATACTAGTAAAGTAATGCTCAAAATTCTCCAAGCCAGGCTTCAACATTACATGAACCATGAACTTGCAGATGTTCAAGCTGGATTTAGAAAAGGCAGAGGAACCAGAGATCAAATTTCCAACATCTGCTGGATCATCAAAAAGGCAAGAGAGTTCCAGAAAAACATCTATTTCTGCTTTACTGACTATGCCAAAGTCTTGACTATGTGGATCATGACAAACTGTGGAAAATTCTGAGAGATGGGAATACCAGACTACCTGACCTGCCTTTTGAGAAATCTGTATGCAAGTCAGGAAGCAACAGTTAGAACCGGACATGGAACAACAGACTGTTTCCATGGGAAAGGAGTACGTCAAGGCTGTATATTGTCACCCTTCTTATTTAACTTATATGAAGAGTACATCATGAGAAACGCTGGGCTGGATGAAGCACAAGCTAGAATCAATTATGCTGGGATAAATATTAATAACCTCAGATATGCAGGTGACACTACCCTTATGGCAGAAAGTGAAGAAGAACCAAAGAGCCTCTTAATGAAAGTGAAAGAGGAGAGTGAAAAAATAGGCTTAAAGCTCAACATTCAGAAAACTAAGATCATGGCATTTGGTCCCATCTCTTCATGGCAAATAGATGGGGAAACAGTGGAAACAGCAACAGCCTTTATTTTGGGGGGCTCTAAAATCACTGCAGATGGTGACTGAAGCCATGAAATTAAAAGACTCTTGCTCCTTGGAAGAAAAGTTATGACCAATCTAGACAGCATATTAAAAAGCAGAGACATTACTTTGCCAAGAAAGGTCCATCTAGTCAAAGCTACAGTTTTTCCAGTAGTCATGTATGGACTATAAAGAAATTTGAGTGCCGAAGAATTGATGCTTTTGAACTGTGGTGTTGGAGAGACTCTTGAGAGTCCCTTAGACTGCAAGGAGATCCAACCAGTCCACCTTAAAGGAAATCATTCCTGAACATTCATTGGAAAGACTGATGTTGAAGCTGGAACTCCAACACTTTGGCTACCTGATTCGAAGAACTGACTCATTGGAAATGACTCTGATGCTGGGAAAGATTGAAGGCGGGAGGAGAAGGGGACGACAGAGTATGAGATGGTTGGATGTCCTCACCAACTCAATGGACATGAGTTTGAGTAAACTCCAGGAGTTTGTGATGGACAGGGAGGCCTGGCATGCTGCAGTCACTGGAGCCACAGAGTCGGACACGACTGAGCGACTGAACTGAACTGAACTAAGTACATCTAAGCTGAGACAGAGGAATTCATTAGTTCAGTTCAGTTCAGTTCAGTCGCTCAGTCGTGTCCGACTCTTTGTGACACCATGAATCACAGCACACCAGGCCCCCCCTGTCCATCATCAACTCCTGGAGTTTACTCAAACTCATGCCCATCGAGTTGGTGATGCCATCCAGCCATCTCATCCTCTGTCGTCCCCTTCTCCTCCTGCCCCCAATCCCTCCCAGCATCAGGGTCTTTTCCAATGAGTCTGTTAGTCAAGAAGTACTGATGGGCCGAAAAAGAACTACTGATAGCAGGATAACACTGATAACATTGGATAGTCATGTTTCAAGGGGAGGAAACATCATGTGAAGATGTCTAGAGTAAAAGTGATCATGGCTTGTTGGAGGAACTAAAAGAGGTTTAATTTAGCTGACATATAATAATTTGAAATACAGGGTAGGAGACCAGATGTTGGGCCTTGTAAACAATGTTGAGCAATTTGGGCTTTATTTGGATAGCAGTTTGTAAAACCATTGCAGACTTTAGGAAGAGGATAACTTGATTATATCTGTATTTTGAAAAGATTGCCCTGGGTCTATTATAAGATCTAGACTTGAGGATAACTGTCTTAGCAGTAGAGAGATGCCACTTCTGTGGAAGTGGCAGTGAGAATGGGGAGAGAATTAGATGATAGATTTAAGGTATATCTCCGACAGAATCAATAAGACTTGATTATTTATTGGATGTGGGACCCAGAGAGTCAAGGATTATACCCAGGTCTCTGGCTTGGTATGTTTCACTGGGATAAGGAATATAGATGAAAAGTTAGTTTTGAGGGGAAAGCAAAATGTTGAGTATGAGGAATTTGTGGGCACACTGATGGAGTTACCTAGTGTTTAGTTACAAACAGTATCTCTGAAAGCCAGGAGGAATATTCAGACTTGACATGGTCCACTTGAGAGTCATTAGTATATAATTGATTTCTGAAGCCGTAGGAGTGGAGGAGACCATCCAGTGGAGGAATGTAGGTAGAAAGATAAGGAAGACTAAGACAGAGTTCCAACAAGCATGAAGATTTGAAGGATGGACAGAGGGAGAGATGTCCACTTGAAGAGACTGAGGCGCAATCAGACATTTAGGAGGAAAAAGTAGAAAAGTCAGGTAACAGCAAACATAAGGAAAATAATATTTCATGAAAGAGTAGCAGTGGTGTCAAATGCTGCTGAGAGGTTAGGTAAGACAAAGAAGTATCCATTAAATTTAGTATCAAAGAAGCTGAAGAAAACCTTGACAAGAGCAGCTTAAAATGGGAATGAATTGAAGGACCTATGAGAGGTGAGAAAGTAGAAAACTTCAGTGGATACAAAAAGTCTAGATATGCCTAGAAAAAGATAATCTGGTGTCTGTGGCTGGGACAGAGGTCAAGGAATTCATTCTTTTTAAAGGGAGGATTGGTAAAACTTAT